TGCTGTTTGGCTTTTTTTCTTGTTTGTTGACTTTTGCATCCAAGGTATTCAGTTATAACTGCAGCCATGGTGTACATTAGTTGGTTTGTTTCTTGCAGTGAGCTGGTGCTTATATCTAATATTACAATATTGGCATCTTTTAATACTTGTCCTAGCTTTTTCTTTGTTACAAGCTTCAATGCAGGCAACCTTATTCTGTTGTTTTTGTGCTGTGCTAGAAGCTCAGTCATTCTTCGTTTCAGTTCCTCTTGTTTTTTAGTTAGAGGGCTTTGTTCTTTCTGAGGAGAAGGCAGAGGAGAGGGTGAAAACAATTCAATAGCTATGCTGGCTTCCTCTACTGCCAACTCCCCCTGGTTTGCCTGTATAGTCTGAACTGCTTCTGGCAAGGCTTCGATTTCTTTGCCCTGGATAGACCTATTCTACTTCTGTGAAAATTTTATTTTGTATTATAAATCAATGTTGATTTTTTAGCCTCTGTTGTGTTATTTCTGATTCTGGATGTTGTTCTTTCTAGAACTTGTGCATTCTTTTCAAATATCCTCTTCTTGTTGGACTTGACTTGTAATAGCAGATCATTATTTCTTTGTTTTCAGTCTTCATATATTTGCGACCAGTAAACAACTTTTCTTCCAGTAGTCTTGCAGCTGCTGGCCTTGGTTGATCAGCCAACAGTTCTGAGTCCTGTAGCCTACTTGTCACCAGATGTCCAGGAACTAGAACACCTAGCATGGTCCTTATTGACCCAGGTAACAAGTGATTCAGTATAGGTTTCTGTAAATTATGTCTCACCATTTTGTTTATGGGAGACAATTATTATTATTGTTTATGGGAGAGGAGGAGGAAGAGAAACAAAGAAAGTGTGTCTATATGTGCACTGGGGAGAGCAGGGGCAAAGACAGCTCAGTGGAGGTTTGATTGGATGGGTTGGATTAGAAATAGATTATCTCAAATATATTTGTGTTTGGGGGCTTAAAAATCCCATTCAGATTTAGTGGGGATTTGGCTTTAATCTGAAGCCATTATATCCCTTCTCAGCCTTCTCTTCTCAGAACTAAGCATTTCCAGATCCATCAATCTTACTCCATAGAACTTAATGATTTAATGGGCACCTCTTTCATGAGAGAAGGCTGGGAGGGAAGTCATAGCTTCAAGTACTTAAAAGGATGTCACACAGAAGAAAACCAAGACTTGTCTCTATCATTTCAGAAAGCAGGGCAGGGAATAATGGATTTAGCATAAAGAATAAAGATTCCAGTTGAAAGGAAAATATTATAATAAGAAGAGTTCAACAGAATTAATTATTTAGGGAAGTAGCAAACACACTACTGGTTGTGTTCAGACAAAGGTTGGAGAGCCACCTGACATGGTATGTTAATCTGGATTCCTGCACAAAGCAGGGAGTTTGAACTTGATGGCTTAAATGCCCTTTCCAACTTGGTAATTAATTCTAAAACCAGAATGTTATTCAAGAATGAATTACAATGTTTTTTTTAAAAATCTGATTTTAAAAAATCTTTCAAAGAACATACAGTAAACAGATGATATAACAAATATGTGCTCTCATCATGCTTCCTAAGTTTATTTTTAAGTCACTCACTGGAGAAAATATTTCTTTCACTATTCTCCCCGCTGCTCATTTAAAATAGAAATAATATTTTGTTATGAATTTTCTCCCACTCCCCTGTAACTTCAACAATTGTCAGGAGATTTGTGGAATCACATGTATAAGGGGAATAACCATAAGTACTTGGTATTCCTTCAGGCTAAAATAAGATTTCCAATGAATTTTGATCAGAGATATCATATCCTGAAATTCTATCAGAAAACAATAAATTCTTGTTGTAATCTAAACAATTTATCAGCAGAAGACAATGACAAATTACTTTGACTTCAGCTAACTTGAAACAATAAGAAGATGAAGTAGCTATTCAGTAGTAAATAACATATTTGAGAAGAAACCATGCCAATTTTATGTATTAATTAAAAACAACATTTGGCTTTTTTTAGCTCTAGTATTATACTTGCAATACTACCAGATAAGTTATTATTATGCTTAAACCAATGATTAACTAAGAAATCATTCTGAGAATGTCTTTTACAAATAATTCTGTCATACATACCTGGTGTAAGATATGGGACTATCATTCAACTTGGGTTCTCAATTAGATACAGAGAGGAATACAATTTCCAAATGATCTCAGGAAACTAAGCTATAATGGCAGATTTCTGTAATCTAGTGTCCTCCAAATACTGGGACTTCAATACCCAGCTATATTGATTGTTACATCTAAAGACATCACAGTGAGGAAGGCAACTGTATGACTTTATTACTCAACACTAGCAGCTTTTTCTTAAAAGATTGGAGGATTCTGTAAAATGGATATACTTCTTTGGCAAAAATGAAGACTACAAGTTCTTCAGGGGATGAATAGTTCCTGTCCATTCAAGTAACCATCTACAAAGCATTATGGATGTTCTGCATAATTGTTTATCTTCATTAGTGTACATGTAAAAGTCCTGAATGCTGCAACAGTTGAGGCAGAAAAAGGTCCAGAGACATGGATCAGCCCAAATAGCAGCTGATCAGTGGTAGTGGGGGGAGGCTGCACTGTGTGGTGAGAGACAGCTAGCTCACACAATACCTCCTGTAAGCTATTGTTCAGGCTTAGTGCTTTCCTAGAAGAGGGCTAAACCCATATTCCAAACCTGCTTGAACAATAGCTGACAGATGCAGTGGGACTGCACAACAAAGTAGTGGAGGGGGAGTCACGTCACATAGTTCTCTCCCTATCTTGCCTCTCAGTTGATGTTCAGCCTGTCAGCTACTTGGGCTGATCAAGGTCTCCATTGGATCAGCTCAGAAACCTGGTGGTTAAACAGACTTTCCTCCTCAGCGTGTCACTTCTGCCACCTAGGCAGCTGATCCCCAGACTAGGAGAGGTGGCATATAAAGGTGAGGATGAGTTCTGACAGATGGTTAAATCCACAGGTAAAACCAACAGCAATCTCTTAAGTTTCTTTGTGAATTCTTACTGCTTTATACTGATGTATGACTTTTCAAACTTCTTTAACAGTAAATGCAGTGGTCAAGCTGAATTTAAAATAAGTAATCTTGATTAGAATTATTCTAATAATTCAGCCATCAAAGCAAATATTACAATATATTTTGTATTTTATTTTCTGTTTTTTAGATACTTGAAATGTAATCATCTTTAACATTACAGTATTAACCAGCAGTAAAACTTGAAATAAATTGTATCTTGATTGTGAATATTGAACATGATTCTAATATCTTTCAGGGCAACATGTGACATCATGCAAGTGGACTACTGGTCCCAAATCTGTCCAAGGGGTCACTTAATTCTCTGAAGAAGATTTAGAGAACTGTGTGGGCTACTGTAGAAGGAATTTCTTTTTGCTGACAGACAAACAAAATCTTTTACTTTCAATATTTAGGGGGGGAAAATTACATTACAAACAAAATGCCAACAGGCAACTTAAATTGTAGCATTTAAGAAAACATAAGTCTAAGTATCTTTATATTCAAAATTAAAGCAAGCACTAACAATTTCTGGAAACCCTTCAACGATGCATAAAATGATTAAATGTTTTAATTCAGAAGAATAATATTCAAAGAAACTGTTAATCATTTATTTTAAATTTATATTTTAACAGACCTCAATAAAAGACTCATGAGTATTATTAATGAATAGATGAATGAACAGATAGCACATGAATAAAAGATGTGCATTTGGTAAATTGGAAGAAATATGGCATGACAGTTAATTAATTATCCATTAAAACATCCCTGCCAAAAGCTAAAATAGCTGTGGATGCAAACTCTGGTCAGCTGTAACTTAAGGACAAGAGAATGACAAAAAAATTTTTTTCCCTATGGAAATACAGTATCAATATTACTTATTTGACACTATGGGCAAACTCAGCGAGTGCACAGAAAAATCAGTAAACCTTTGAGCTCTTAACAGTCCACTAATGAACAAGCGTGCTCTGTTCTCCTGTAGGAAGTAGAACTTAATTACATCAAGGATGATTTAACTGGTATGATACTCAGTTCTGTCTCTCTTGCCTTCTTTAAGAGACAGCAGGGAGATTCTGAAGCTCCTTTTGGAATTACTGAAGGAGAGTAAGCCAACGTTTTTTCCAACTTGGCCGCTTTAAGCGGCGTGGACTTCAACTCCCAGAATGCTCCAGCTAGCATGCTGGGAAATTCTGCTTGCTGGTGGGGAAATTCTGGGAGTTGAAGTCCACGCCCCTTAAAGCGGCCAAATTTGAAAAAAAGTG